AGTTCATCCATCCATTCCTTCATTCATTCAAGGACAGGAGTCCAATAAAATGCCTAGTTGGTTCGTTCATTCATTCATTCATTCATTCATTCAATAAGTATTAACTAACCACCTACTGGTGTGCCAGGCAGTATGCTAAATCCTAGGGATATAGTGGAGTGAAAATAGATAGTTTCTGTCCCCCAGGGCATGGATAGGCACCAACATGTATGGTGTATAAACTAGTATGCCTGGTCACATTGGTGGCACCACACCACACCTGGGAAAGACATCTGGATTACTGCTTAGACCACATCCAGTAGGTACAGTATGACTCAGCATTCCTGATTCAGGACTGTACTTCCCCAGTTATCTTAGTCTGAATCCTCATTCCCGACACCTCGTCTTCCTTTGTCTAGTCATTCACAAGGTAATCATACTCTGCTCCAGATGCAGGCATTTCTGGGCCACTCGTCCCAAAGGAATTCTTGAGTAGAACCAACGTTGAGGAGTAGTAAGAAGAATCAGGTATGGGTTTTTACATGTATGAAGATACACACACACACATCTGTTATACTTTGATTATTCATTAACTTGATAAAAGCAATACATACACACACATATATATGCACACATAAAAAATATTTAGTTGTTTTGTTTTTATCCGGTTAACAAATAAAGTATACTAAGCCATAAACCCATTGCCCTCAGGAAAGGAAAAGGCAGGGTGGGGGACTGCTAAGAATGGAAAAGGAAAAGGTTTACTGGGGGCTGGGGTGGGGAGGCCCCAGCTCCAGGTGTTCAGTGGGAGGAATTCTAGCCCTCTAGGCAGTACCTGATAGTCACAGAGCTGTGAGTAAACAACAGGTGGTAGTCCAGGAGAGCAGCAGGCATCAGGATGCCCAACTTGAGGTTATGGGGAAAGGAGGCTTGACAGATGGATAGAATAAGGGCAGAGAATCTAGAAACGAAGAGCTGGAGGTCAATAAGTGTTGCCATAAGTAAGAGTGCACAGCAGAGTGTACTGCAGGGCTGGGGCTGACTCTAGAGAGCAGAGTCCAGAGAACAGGCAGGGAAAAATCAGGTTCCACACAGGTTAATAGGCTAGGGCTTCAAGCATAAGAAAGAGGCTGTGAGTCAGTTCAAAGAAAGGAGCCAAGGTTGGGGCTCCCCACGTTAAGTAGCAAACGTAGCAGGAGGCTGGGTTCTGGCTTGGGACAGGAGCTCTGAGACTCTTCCTGCCACAAGGCCAAGAAAGGATTAGGTTCTGTTGAAAGGGGTATACAGATAGCAGGGAGAGGACTACAGTGACTGTGGGCTAGGGAGGACCACGCAGTGGCTACTTCGCAGCAAGAGCTTCGGTAAACCATCTTTGAATCATAGTAAACAAGTGCTCTGAAGCAAAGAGAAATGGAAATGGGAAAAGGAGCAAGTAACTGAGAAGTAAAAACAGAAGGAAAAATAAAAAGGAAAGAAATCCATTACAAAGAAAAGAACAAATGCAGATTTTTTGAACTTTATGCACTGATTTTAGATAACCACTTTTTTCTTAAACACAATTTCTGTTTTGGTTTGTTCCTTCTAAACCATAACAGGGTATTACTAACCAGTAGAGTAATGTATTAGTGGCCATGCTGAGAAATGTAGCTGTTTCCTCTACCTTTTACAATGCTTTTGTCCATTTAACACTGGGTTTTAAGCTAACCTAAATTATCACCCTGCCAAGGGCATTCCTTCACTAGTTACTCCTTACTGGGCTCTAACTTACCTCCACATCCGGAGCCTGAGGGCTGCCTTTGTTTCACAAAATCTTTACAACAAGAAATGACTTTGGACGGATTAACTTGAATCAATCAAAACTATTGCCTTCCCTGAAAATGGTAGAACCCAGTTACCCTCATCCACCCTTATTGTTTCCAACATAGTCCATGCCACCCTCAAAAACTAGGTCTTGATGACAAGGTTCAGAAATGCTTAGAGGAAATTCTATTCTTATCTCACTCATGTGTTTAACAGATATGAGCACTTGCTGTGTTCCAGGAGCTAGGCTCTGAGGAGAGAGCTGAGAATAAGAGGGACAAGGTCTTTGCTCTCATGGAGTTTACATTCGGGGGGTGGAGGGCAGAGAAACTCAGACCATAAACCAATAACTAAACAAACAAGGTAATTTCAATTAGTAAAAAGTGGTATAAAGAGAACAAAATTGGCTGTGGGTGCGAATTTAAGACCCGCAATCAGGGAAGGTGTCTGAGGATCTGCAAACTGTAGAAGGGTAATTTTACATTCCTAACTAAGGCTATGTGATTTGAGTATGCAACTGCTGCTCTTGGGGCCTACACCTCAAACTGTGCAGAGGAAGAAAAGGTGGCTTCCAGCCATTCTATTAACCTTCTTAAAGGAAAGCCATCACATTAGAGAATGTTAAAACTGGACCTTGAGGGGAACCTGGGTGGCTCAGTGAGTTAAAGCTTCTGCCTTCAGCTCAGGTCATGATCTCAGGGTCCTGGGATCGAGCCCCGCATCAGGTTCTCACTCAGCAGGGATCCTGCTTCCTCCCCCCTCTCTCTCTGCCTGCCTCTGCTTACTTGTGATCTCTGTCAAATGAATAAAATCTTAAAAAAAAAAAAAAAAATTGGACCTTGAGGTTTTGCTGGAGTTTGGGGGCCAGACAATACGTGTCCAGATGTCTCCTTGGGCTTCCTGGCTGCTCTGTTCATTTAGTGGGCAAACTGGAGAAACAAGCTGGCATGCATACACATGCCAGGAACCAGAGAGAACACCATGCTCTACTCAGTGGTAGGTAGGTAGGGTGCCTGCTGTGAAAATGGGAAGGTTTTAAGCTTGGTCACTAGTGTGCTTTATCTAAAGAGAACAAAAGAATGTCAAGTAACCCAAAGACTTGAAAAGAAGATCCTTCCATAGAGATGCAAAGATATCATGACAGGATGCCTCTATTTTGTTATCATTTCTACAGTGGTATATAACAAAACCCAGGCAACACTGATTTGCTAGTTTCAGAAATTTGATGTACTAAATTTTAAACTGAAATTCTTGTCTATTTCATGGACTGACTCATATGCCTAAAAATCGAAGCAGGCTTCAGAGGGTATTTTAACACACTTGTCATGATTTTATCTGCCATGACACATTGCTCAGCATACATCACTGAGTTCTTTGGCCAATGAGTCTGAATCTCCTTCAGTAAAAGGTTCACCCTTTCCCCTAAACATAAAGCAGAAATGTAGAAAACTTGAAAAAGTGACAAGTTTTAGTTGATGAAAGGAAATTCATGGTTGATGCAAGAAAACTCATATTATCATACATTTTCGCTGCACAGCAAGATGCTACAACTCGTGACTCTCAAACCTGAGACAGCTCTAGAGTTCATTAAAAAAATGAGAATTGCCGGAGTTGAAAAAACAACAACAACAAAACCTTGGAATTACAGAAGGTATCTGAGGCATCAAGGGCAAACGTGGTTTGTAAAAGGAAAAAGGAAAAAAAAAAATCTTTAAACAAGAATGTAAAAGAATTTAGACATTTAAACATGATTAAAAGGGAATACTCTGGAATCTAAACATCTCTTTAGGGAGAATGCGTATAAAAACAAATTCCAGTACTTGGCACATTCTTTTTCTTCCCTTTTTCTTCTTACCTAGCTGAAAAAGTGATTTTATAAAAGGACTTAAAAAGAGTTATCTTTTGTAGAGACTTAATTTAACACGATACATAACTGTTGCAACACTGAGCAAAGAGATTAAGGTTACATTTGGTTGTTAAAAGGGGGCCTATATTCTTTCTTCGGATACAGGATACTGAATACGTTTAACAGCATTTTACCCGAAGAATGAGGAGAAATGCTAGAAGAGAAGTAGTGACAATTAATTTCATTTTCCAAAGGGAGGGAATGAGACTCCGGAGGGCATAAGAGGTCCTAAGAGTGAGCCAAGGTAGAGGCGGGAGCAATATTTATAGTCCGCTGACTTCAGCTGGCCCGGGTTAACGCCGCCGCTCTTCTGCCTTAGGAGTTCACGGGCTCGCAGGTCACAGGGCCCTGGGCGGCCGGGCCTCCCAGCTGCGGGGGAGGGTGGGGGGAAGTGGAGATGCCTTGTCTCCCCGCAGCTGCCTCGGCGCCCGCCCACCTGCGCCGGCCTACCTAGGCTTCTGCACACTGGCAGAGAGCCCAGCCCAGGAACCGGGGCGCGGTGGGTGGATAATGGATGTAGTGTGGCCACACTCTCCTTTCTTTGTCGCCACGACCACTACCACGACCTGGCAAGTCCTCGCCACGGTGTGTGAGTGCTGAGGCTCACGTGGAGCATTAGAGTGTGTCAGAGAAGTGGCCCACGCTAAGGGATCCGGGAGGCCGGCCCGTCCCAGAGGTCCCGGCCCGAGCGCAGCCCGCGTCGGCGGTGTCCGCGCCCCTCCACGGCGCTCCGTCGTGTGCGTCTTGCGCGCGGCGTCTGTAGGACGCGGCTCCCGGAGACGAGCCGACCCCGCCGCGGCGGCGGTAGGGCTGCTCGGTGGGGAGGGGCTGGTGGGGAAGCGCGGAGGAGAAAACCCCCCCAACGGCAGCCCGGCGCCCCGCTGCCGGGGACAAGGGCCCGCAGCCGGCAAGGGGGCGCCGGGCCTCGCGGACCCTTCGGGCGCTTCCGCCGCGCGCTCGGCTCCTTTCGCGTCCGGGGCGGGGCGGGTGCCTTCCCAGTGCGCGCGCGCGGCTCCGACTCCGGCGGAGGCCCGTCCCTCCCCCCCGGCCCCCGCGCCCGCGCCGGCCCCCCCACCCTCCACCCCGTGCGAGTGTCGGCGGCGGCGGCGGCGGCGGCGGCGGCTGCCGAGATTGGAATCCGCCTGCTGGCGCTCGACGAAGGAGGAGGGAGGAGGGCGGGGAGAGCGAGCAGGAAGGCTCGGACTTCGGTGCGTCCGTCCGCGCGAGACGAGGATCGCACGGCCGCGCGAGGGGCGACCGGGCCGGGGCCGCTGCACGCCGAGGGCGGAGGCCGAGCCGGGCCCCCGCCGCGCCCCGGCGGCTCGCCGCGTCCACCCCGCTCCGCGCCGAGGGCTGGACGATGAGTTCCCCGGGGGCCGGGTGAGTTGGCTAGTCTGTGAGTGCGTGTGCGCGCCGGGAGAGGCCGGCGGCGGTGGCGAAGGCGGGGAGGCCGGCGCGGGCGCGGGGCGAAGTTTCGGGGGCAGCCGGGCGCGCGCGGGAGGCCCGAGCGGGGTGCAGCCCGGCGGGACCGCCTCGCGGGGTCCGCGCCGTCCCGGCTGGGTCAGGCCGCGGCCCGCTGGGCCCCACCGCCGGGCACCCCCATTTCGGGCCCCGGCCCCCCGGACGCCCGAAGTCTGCTCCTCGCAGCCCCCCGCGGCGGCCCCGCCACCCGGCCCCTCTTTTGTTCCCCACCCACGGGTTTCAGGCAGAGTTTGGGGAGGTGGTGTGGGCGAAAGCCGCCTCCGAGGACGCTTCTTGAATCCTTAAATGGGAAAGGCGCTCACCTCTCTCGCCCAGGAGCTGCGAGGCTGATGGTCGTTATTTGTCTCTCTCCGCTGCGGCGGAGGAGGGGGGAAAAAGTGTTCCGTGGGGTGGTAGAGCCAGGGGGAGCTGCGAGCCCCCCCTCAAAACTTGCCCGCGGGAATGTGCCAGGTTTCTCCGAGGTTCACCTGTTGCCTGCGCGGCCTCCGCTGCCATGTCTGTTGTGATTCTGCACTTCAGTATCTGAAAACTTTCTGCCGGATTGAGTGTAACCTACCCCCCGCCAATACCCCCCCCCCCTACCCGGGTCTTTCCAGACTCCTAGTGGAAAGATTTGGCAGGAAAAAAAATAGCTTGCGTCAGGAAAGAAAAATAATGTGCGATGTGTTAAGGGTCTGGTGTTTTGTGACTTGTATACTCGTCCATGCTCTCGGATGTTTTACTTGGTCAGGGGGCTGCAGTTTTTCTCTTTCAAATAAATGGTTACCAAACTCTTTTGAGTACACAGTGCGAACTTGGCGCATTCACCTGTGTGACGTCATTTAATCCTTGTGATAACCCTAGTTATTGTGTTCATTTTTTAGACGAGGAAACCGAGACACAAAGAGGTTCAGTAGCTTGTCTGGGTGAGCTGGGATTTGAACCCAGGGTTTTCTCTGCTATTCAGGAACTGTCAGAGCGAGATTTAGGATGAGTTTGAAAGCAACAACAAAACCTCTTTCTGCAAACAGTTTTACGTTTAGGGCACTTTGCAGTTACTTGTACTTGATCGCTGTTTTGTTGCTTGAGTTGAAAACAACTCTTTTATTGTATTTACTTACAAGAGTTCAACTCTGAATTGCGGTAGAAAGTAACTTAATGCTTATCACTGTTTTCAGTTGAAATAAAAAGTCTGTGAACGAGTATTATTTAAATATTTGAACTTAAAGCAAAAATATGGGCAGTTCTGAGCTAGAAAGGGGTTGAGTTTACAAAAGAGTGATGGAAATTCAGAATACCCTTTCATAGAACCAGTATTCCACTCGTGGTTTTGGGTGTTCCCCCTCTGCACAGTGTTCGTGGAACTCACTTAAAACTTTTTGTCACTTCTCCACCCCCTTTACTGAAAAGCTTGAGGCATTCAGTGGGATCTCCTTCCAGAATGTATTGGGTTACTTCTGTCATCTTTTCTTTCCATCTCCGTGAATGTTTTTTGTCCTTTCTTAGTTAACACCTTGTTTCATTTTTCTGCTCTCTCCTACTTAACGGAGTAGGGGTTACTCTCTTCTAGGGTTCTTGAGAGTATAAATGTGCTTAAGATTTTTTTCAGTTTACAAAAACCTTTCCTTGAGCATTGCTACTCCCTCAAGCTGTCATGTTGCTGCTCTTCCTTTTAAAATCATATTAACATTAAAAAAAGTCTCCTTGTAAATGTAATAGATGTTCATTAAAGAAAAATTGTAAAATATTGCAAAATTGAAGCAAAATTAAAAATCAGTCCTCCATAATCTCATCTCTGAAGATTGCCAAGAGCAGTTTACTTTTTCTGCATTTACTTCCTGGCCATCCATTCGCTTCTATTTTATTTTAATTTAATTTAATTTTTCACTTCTTAACCCCTTGTTATCTGCAGTTCACCTTCACAAGGGCTACCTATAACCTAAATAACACATTTAAGCCCCTTTTCTAAATAATCTCCTTGAGCTTTATGTGATATTTAACATCATCTTCTCATTCTTGAAATGCCTTTCCTTGGCTTTTTTTTTTTTTCATATATCCATTTTATTCAACACTTAATCATATTCTGACCCACCCTGCAAGGCAGTTGGATGCAACAGCAGACATTGTCCTTGCTCTCGTGGAGCTTAAGGTCTAGTGGAGGAGACAGAGATTGAAGGAGTTCTGTAGTTAACTGTAACTGATTATAATTAAAGTGCACAGTATTAGAAGAGCTTCAAATGGGGACCCGACCTGGTGCTGGTGGTGCTGGGACAATCGGGAAGGCCTTAAAACATCACTTTGGAACCATTCTGAAGGTTGAGTAGGAGTAGGACAAAGGGCTTCTGTGATATACTGACTTTGTTCCCCCCTTTGCCCTTTTCCATTCTTCCTGCTTAATATGTGTTCTCCAGGTTTCACTTTTCAGATCACTTTTCTATATGTCACTAGTCCCTTGGCATTTTTATTGTTCAGGCCCTTCTGTCTGAATCATTCTCAGATCTCATTCTCTATTTCTCTGCCCACAGATCCTTGTTTTTCCCGGTTGCTTTATACATACCTCTACCTGGTTGTTCTGGTTCAGACTGAACTCTTCCTTACCAAACTTGTTTCCCTGGTGTTCCTTATTTCTGTTGATGTCATACCAAACCCAGACCTTTCTCCATTCCGTCACATCTTACCTGCAGTCTACATCTATTGCTTCTACTGTCACCGTATTGTTCCACTTTATTCCTGGTGATGTGGGTACAAGTCCTGATACATGTCGGTATGAAGGTTATAGACTCATAAAATGAATTGGGCAGCTTTCCTTTTTCTCATTTCAAGAGCATTTTATGTATTTTTATGTATTTTTTAAAGATACTTATTTCAGAGAGAGAGAAAGGGCACTGAAGTGTGGGGGGACGGTCAGGGAGAGGGGGATAATCTCAAGCTCACTCCATGCTGAGCAGACATAGGGCTTGATCCCACAACCCGGAGATCATGACCTGAGCTGAAACCAAGTATCAGGTGCTGAACTGACAGGCACCCCTTAGAAGCATTTTATAAAGACTGGAATTATCTTGAGAGTTAGGCAAATCTCACCTATAACACCATTCAGGCTTTGTTTGTTTGTTTCTTCTCTGTAGAAGACTTTGAATACCATTTCAGTTATTTAAGAACTGTTGGTCTGCCTAGGTTTTCTATTTCTTGGTGAGTTTTAGTGTTTAATATTTTTTCCAGAGATTTATTTATTGAGTTTTCAAATTTGCTGTTACTTTGTTTCTACACAGTTCTTTTTCTTTAAAATTCTTTGATTTGATATAAATTTATATGCAACAGTATATATTGTGTATGTATTTATATATTTGATGATTGATTGATTCATTGACTTTTTTTTTTTTTTTTTTTTTTTTTGCTAACTGAATCAGGTTCTCATTGCACCTGGGCCAGTGTTACAATCTTTTCGCCTTCACTTTCAGGTTTATCTGGTTTATTTTATGCCATTCTGCTTAAGTTAATATTGAAGCCCAGTTTGTCACTTCTCTACTTAGAAGTTTCCAGTGTCTTTTATTAAATGAAGTTCTTTCCAGGGAATTTATCTCAGATTTCCTTTATTCTTGTTTCCCACTATTTTTGCTTTCTGCACATGTGCTTTTCCCCCTTTCTGAAGTCGTTCCCATTTTCTTCTGAATGAAATCCCTTTTGAAGGAATTCCTTTGGAAGGAAGGGTTTTTTGGTTAAGGACAATTTTTATCTAGTATTTTCTTACTGCACTTACTAATTTGTCTTTTGAAAAAAATCAGCTTTATTGTGGTGCCTGGCTGGCTCAATTGGTGGAGCATGGGACTCTTGATCTCTGGGTCGTGAGTTCGAGCCCATCTTGGTTGTAGTGATTACTTAAAAATAAAATCTTCAAAAAAATCAACTTTATTGAAGTATCATATATATATATAGTGATATGCACATGTTGATAATGCAGTTCTGTGAATTATTTGGTCTTTTATAGCGATTAGTATACAAATATTAGTTCTACTACTAACCTGCCACCTGGGTCTGTAACTGACTTTGTTGCATTTTAAAATGAATAAATGGAGAAAGGCTTGTGTCTAGCCTAGTAGTGGCTGGACATCAGTTATAGTAGTACTGATCCAGTTTTCAGATTTGGGGAGCAGAGAGCCATAAAGAGAAAGGAAAATGGGTTTCCCCTCAGGCTATATTTTGAACTAGGAAGTCCTTCCCTCTCCCACTTTTTATTAGTGTTTGTTTTTAGAATGCCTTTAAATATTTCAAGGTCCATACTGACCAGGTCAGTCTAACTTTTTAACACTTATAAGATTAAATGCTGAGTTGTATTGAAGTTACAAGATGCACCATACTTTTATGGGCCACTCATAAAGAAAATCTGCTTCTAGGTAATTTCAAGAAGCCATCAATTGTAAGATGGACCCTATTTTCAGAGATGCTAAAATATGAAAAATATGTGTGCCTTAGGACTGACAAAAAGGGTTTTTCTCAGTTAAGCAAAGCTTCCATTCCTTTAGTATAGATGTAGGGAAGAATTTAAACTACACTTATGTGGGAGTGACTTGTAGTTCTGTTGTTACTATGAAAAGTTTTTGTTTTTGTTTTTTTAAAGAGGATGCTTGTTAAACTTTTTTTTTTTAACAAGTAAAGCATTTTAGGCAGTATAGAGAAATATTTATTTTTGGATGGGGTCTTCTACTACAACTAGTTATGCCAGTCTGATTGTGAGGCAATCTCAGCTTTCTGAGAGCTTAATTTTCACAAATTCGTGCAGATAATGTAAAGGCGGAATTGTGGGAGAGTTGTGATAGCCAATTTTTTGACTGTTTTAAAGAGAATACCCAGTACTTACGTGTCATCATTAACAATCATCATATACTTAGTTTTTTAAAAAGTAAATACAAAAATCATTATAA